AGAGTTAAAGCGTGTCTTCTCCTCCCAAGTACGGACATACCAACACACTAGTGTTTATTCCCTCGAGGGAGTCCATTAGGGATGGCGGGCCGCAGAACCGGAGGGACCACTCCGGACGGCTCGCAGGCAGGAGACACAAATAGCAGCGAGCAGATCGACAGCATGCGGTCTGAGTTCAGTTCGCTGACACAGCAAATGGGCCAGCTGGTGCAGCTGATCGGAGGACTTGCTGCACGTATAGAGGAGAAGTCCGGCGGTGCCACGGAGGGCGCCGCTGAAAGCGGCGGCGCCGTGGAGAGCGTCGCCACAAGCACTGCAGGTCATTTTGGGACCGTGCAGTACGACGGGAGCGCGCAGGCAGCGGACCTGCGAAGAGAGTCTGGTCCTTCGGGACGACACAGCGGCGAAGTAGGGGGTTCAGACCCCCAAGAGGCGAGAGTAGCCGCTGCTCACAATCAAGCTTGTTTCAGCAGCGCCATGGGAAGTGGTGCTGCTGTCTTCGGTAGTGCGAGCGTGGGATACCAAAGCGTGAAGTACACAGCGCCCACGTTCAGCGGAGACGCCAAGAGCTTTTCTTCGTGGCTAGAGGATTTTTTGATGGCAGCGAACACAGAAAACCTTCTTGAGCTTTTCGAGGAGGGGGGGGCGGAGATCCCCGTAAACAGTGGGCAGAGCAAAGTCCAACTGTCCAGGTTTTACCCGCACGACAAAGTAGAGCTCGCTTTCCACGCGTGGAATTTCCTCCGTGGATCTCTCAAGGACGAGAAAGACAGGACAATAATGAAGCGAGCTGAGTCGCCCCTGGGGGCGCTCCGTGAGCTGAAGGGGTTGTACGACCCAGAATCGTCCATGCAGCCTGCGGATGAGTTAAAATCCCTGACATCCAAGAAGATCCCGATGGCAGAGAATCCGCAACATGCTCTCAACAGTATGCTCGCCACCGCAGCGTCCATTTCGAAACGGGGGCTTGATGTTAACGAAACGTTCGTTTTGCACCTCCTCTTGGATGCCCTCTCCAACGAGCGCTATGACCAAGCACGCCCTCAGACACAAGGAGAGGTTGACAAGGAGTGACGTCCTGAAGGAGGTCACCATCGAATATCGATCGATCATGGAGAAGGTGAAGGCGGGGAAAGGCAAGGGCGGTCGCGGCGCCGAGCAGGCCTACCTCGCCGATGGAGGCGGCCGCCGTGGGCGGTCGTCGTGGCGTGGGGGCGGCCGCCGAGGGCGGTCGTCCTGGCGTGGTCGTGGCGGTGGCCGCAGCGGCGGCCGCGGGGGCGGCGACAGCAGCGGAAAAGGCAGTGGCGGCGTCGAGGAGAGCAAGGGGAGTGGCTCTGGTGGGGCAGATGGCGGCGGTACCGGGGACAAGAAGTTCCCGGGCCGGTGCTTCACGTGTGGCTGTTTCGGACACACGCAGCAGGACTGCACCACCAAGGAGAGCGACTACCTCCCGCAGTGCTCACACTGCGCAGGATGGGGTCACAGCAAGGACAAGTGCGCGACGGAGGAGGCCGTCCTGGCGCAGATCGTCGATGCCGACAGCAACGCCGACTCCGTCGACAACCAGGCCTTCTGCGCGGCGCCGGGCCTGCCAGGCGAGTGTGGTGCTGTTGCCCTAGGTCTAGTGGGGGTAGCGGAACTAGGCCAGGATGTCATGGTGTGCGTGGCTGATACAGCAGCCACGTGCTCCATGTTCCGATGCGCAAACGCGTTCGTGAACTACCGCGAGTGTAGTGGTTGGGTCAAGGGGATCGGAGGCAACAAGGCCCCCGTACCTCTCCTAGGGTACGGAGACGTGACCGTAGTCTTTCTGACCGAAGGCGGTAGGGTACCAGTGCTAATCCTGAACGCCGCTCATGTGCCCGAGACCCCCCCACAACCTTCTCTCACTGTCGGCGTTGGCCGAGGAAGGCCACACGTATTCCGGCCAGAAGGGGGGGCTGACTCTCACTACGAGAGCCGGGGGGCAGGTGTGGTTCCCCCGGACGGGTAAGCTGCTAACTCAAGAAGGCTATCAAATCGAGCCGAAGGTAGACATCGCCTGTGCCGCAACAATTGTTCCTGGCGATGCGAAAGCAGCCACCCCCACTGACCTCAACTACTACCACAATTCGCACGGCCACACGCACGAGGAACTGCTCCAGAAAACGGCGAAACAGCAAGGAGTGCAGCTGACGGGAGGACCGCTGCTACCATGCCTTGGCTGTTCGATGTCCAAGGGGCAGGTGAAGCCCAACTCAAAGAGCACGGACACACGCGCAGATAAGAAATTATTCCGCCTCTTTTTCGATTTGGGGGGGAGGATGCAGTTCAAAAGCATTGGTGGCAACTGGTACACCCTCATCATCCGAGATGATTGCACCCGCTGGACACGTGTTTTCTTTCTGAAGCACAAG